GGCTCGACGTGCAGGAGAAGGAACGGGGTGGTTTTTAGTCAGTAAGAGTCTGACACTCCCTCCCGCCTCACCCAGGCGGGATCAGACATTCGATGATTTTCCCCCCTTAAAAAAAAGGTGTAGATTTCTATGGAAAAGAACGATAAGAAACTCCATAGGTTACTCTTTTTCAATCAAATTCACAATACAATTCTCTAGTTACATAGTTTTGTTGATAGGATGTTGTTTTGGTAATTCGTTTTTATTGTGTTTGTTTATAATTAGAAAAAGGTAAATAGAAAGATTAAATTCAGGACAAGCCGCTAGAACTTAATAAATTACACATAATAACATACCTACTGATCAGAGTAATAAGGGTGATTTTACCGAATCTAATAACTTGGGATTAAGTATTATGATAATGTGCATTAAAATGACTATAAAAGTAGATTGTTAGACAAAAGGTGACATTGTCTGGTGTCTGTCCTGTCGAGTATAATCACAGTAACGAGTTCTAAAGTACATTATAATATCCAATATTTTTGTGGCAATAATAATTTTACCAATAAACCACAACAGTAATCATTTTCATCGAAATAATGGATGGCTAAAAGCAAGCTAAAAATTGTACACATAATTAATCATTGATGACGTTTTTAAAGCAGATTTGTGTTAGTTTATTTCAATCTAGCGACCCGCCGCGACTTCGCATGGGTGCAATGTTTATGTAATTCTCTACATCACATTAGAAACCACTAAATTTATCAGTGTTTCTTTACTATATTATGCATGTATTATACATATAAACCTTTCTTAAGAATCACTCTATAGGTATATTAAAAAAAAATCGCATTAAAATCCGTTGCTTAGTTTTACAGATCTAAGCATACATAGGGACAGACAGACGGTCGATAGCGACTTTGTTTTATACTATGTAATGTGACTTGCAGTCAAATAAAACTAAACCAATGCAAAATTATGTAAGAATTTCATGTGGTTTGTCTTTTATGTGCGCTGTGAGAGAAAAAATGCGCATTAATTTAATGTTTTTAGTATCGTTTCATTGTAGCCTGTTTAGAACATGTTCCTTTTAGTTAGCTAATCATTGTTTTACACGTGCCGCTGTGGTGTAAATGATTTACATTCTGCGCCACGGCGTAGCAGGATGAAATGAATGCACACTTGTGCGCATTAAAAAAATATGACAGTATTGCATATGATTCATGTAAAATGGCCGTCCCTTAACTTTTTGTGGGACGTGTGTGATGACCAGTGACGAATGCTTTGGACGAATTATAATAATATAATTAAAATTTGAAGCTGTGATTATTATTCGTTAATGTTAAATATATTTTCATAATTTGATATAAATATATATATAAGCGTAAATAAACTGACCTGTTGATTGATTAGATCTGCAAAGCTCGAATCAACTTCTAAAGTTAGTTTAACAATTATTAATTAATTGTTAAAATTATACGCAACACGAACCAATTAAAACACATTCACCCATTCACTACCAAGGAAAACAAAAAAACTATTGTAATAGCAAAATCGTTACTTTTTTTATTATTCATGGCCAGTACTAACATAGGTCCATTTGAGAGTACCAAAAAAATTTTATTTTCACACCCAAGCAACAAATAATATAAAAAATCAACAGATGCCATTAAACAAAAAAAAAATAAAATAAAAGAAAAATTAAAGTAAAGGGCATTCACTCACAGTTTTACGAAATTCGGCCAGTACTGTCACTTTCTCATAAAGGACATAACAAAAGAAAGAGGAATTATGCTTAGGTATGTGTGTAGCGTTTCATAAAAGTGTTTTTGAGCTGAGTATATTAAGTAGGTCATTTTTTCATTGCAAAGATAAAAGTATTTATTTAATTTATAAAAACATCTAGTACAAAACTTGATACTGCATTTATTTAAATGACTGATAATAGTAACTTCCTACTATGACGAGTCTTTTGATAAATGCTTGTTTTACGAATAAGTAGACAGACCGTATGTATGTTTTAAACAAAGTACCTATAGTTTAACAATTTATTACACATAATAGGTTTCAAGGCACGAATATCGCTAACAGTGTTTATAGCGGAAGTGTCTGGCACAACTGTCGAATACTTATCTTGCACATAGCAAATAGGGATAATTTTATTAAGCAAATCTCGCAATATCAAATAGCAAACATATAATAGAGCAAAATAGACATACATGAATGAAAAAAAAATAACTTTAATTCATTTAAAATACAGAGTAAACAAACCTATTGACATATCTACATTTAGTATAAAGGATCAAGTGACCTTTGGAAGCAACACGTGGTTCTTTGTGACCGCAGTTCTCAGTAGCGCCACAGACTAACTAAACTTCATTATTATTGTATCGAATTACGGCAGTATGACAACAGAGGGGAGATAAAGCATTGTTTGGTAATGTCTACGGTTAAATTGTGTACTCTATGATAGTCGTCCAACTCTTTGTTTATCTGTATTTAGTCGTCGAGATTGCATTTTTTTTTTGTGTTATAAAAATGTTAAATATGCTAAAAGTTATTTTTATATTCCACGTTATCAAAAATGTGCATTTTTGAGAAGTTGTGGATGACATTCATTTTTTTATACGAATAATAAAATTCGCGTGTAAAATAAATTAAATGACGTCACTGGCCACAGAACGTAGATCTATGTAATATATACATACATGTTTTTGTAGAATTTCGTGTATTGGTTTTTGTTAAATTAACTCATAAATTATCCTTTTAGATAATTTGTTAATTAGTTATATTATATTCGGATAGTGAATTATAATATTGATACATTATACATTTAGTTTTAATTAAGTTTGTGGGTAGCCAATATACTTACAGACCTACCAACACCTATTATGTTTGTATAATAATTCAATAGTCTGCTAAAAAACACGGAAGTTTTGAGGCCCTTCTAATTTCAAATAAGGTACTATGTCGATAAAAAATATTGTTACCTACTACGTTCTCTATATATAGATTATCATTACGTTTTAACAAAAGTGCTAATAGTTTACTTATTTAATTTAATTTTGAGAGTTCTAATATGCATTAAGAGACCATGGTTGTACGACTACGCGCGCAACTATATTGTCTACAGAAGAGAACAAATATTGAGGTTAACTTAGTTGCCGACAACAAGATAGTTGCGCAGCCAAGTTGACTTAGTACCTACTTTAATAAAGTTCACTTTTTCTCGTCGTATCAATAGCCATTATTTTAATATTACATTATTTCTATTGCTATCAGTGGCCGGTTACAATGAACCTGTATAGCATATTCACAGCGGAATACAAATACATATTGTATATTCGTTCCTAATAATAATATATACATTGTATATTATATACATGTAATGATAAGGAGTGAACTATTAGCCGCAATGTATGTGTCGACCGCAGTGTTTGTGTCGAAATAATCTTCGCAATTAACAATTGTATTAATCGTTGATTAGCTGACAATATGTTTATGACCGGCAACAATGTATAATATAATTTGTAAATAAAGAAAACTTAGTGAAGTCGGTGTCCTAACTCAATGTAGGTATCCTTATAATGATAGTAGATAAGTCATTTCAAAATTAGTACTCACATGCGTAGTATTGAAATATAAACTACATTGTATCTAGTTGATTGTAACATAAATAATTGTTTTTCGTTTATCACCTACCTAACCTATACCTATACTATACTTGTCTAGGTATCCGTCCGTATAAACCTAGGTTTTGTTTTATTATAAGTTAGGATCTATCGTAAGCTATGAAATTCAGGTGTACATGTCAAACTACTTATTAATAATTATAATGATTACCTAAATATTGATAACAGGACCTTGGTAATAGTTTAATACATCGCTTAATACATAATTTAAAATTTTCATAACTAGCAGTTGTAGCTTCAAGAGTCCTAGTCGCTATTATGTTTTCCGCGTGTCGATCACAAAAATAAATAATATTTTGTTGCTTATTGTATTATTCCAGGTAATTATTAGACTGTTATAATACATTTTCGTAGCTTCATAATCGCATTATTACAGAGAAAAAAATAGATAAAACGAAGGTGCTACGTCGCGTAGAAGACGTAGCCAGTGCTACGAAACTTAGATTTTGATCATTTGAAATGATAATACGGTATAAAATTAATTAGTATTTAGCTTGGAATGTTTAAAGAGACAATTCACTACTTGAATTGCATAAGTAACTAAGAACCAGTGTATGATCTGGTAGTTTTCAAAATGTAAATCGAGATTGAGGTGTTTAGACTTCACACTGGGATAGAGTTAACATGTAATAAAAATATGCAAGCAGATATAAATATCAAATCACATAAAGATATGTCCACACGATAACACCCACGTGTGCTATCTCCTACCACCTGAACATTTCATAAAATTAATTGAGCTGCTGTTTCATGACGTATGGCGATTATCAATATGGTGATTAGTAAGCCAGTAGATATTGTGGGTCAATACCATCTGTTATCACCATTTATCTGATTATGTGATTGATCGTGGTCACGTTTTCAGACAATGAGACTTAGGTAGATATGTTACATTGTAAAAGAATACCTGTGCATAGGTATAACCTTCAGGTGTGATAATTGATTTACGATAATAGCTCTTATTGTAATGGGCATAAAGATGCGGTCTGAATAATGTTGATTTCGTTTACTTTGTGCGTGTACATTATGTTGGATTCAGTTTTAATTTTGTGTATTGTTTTGTTGGCAGAAGTCAATGATCTCGACTCATTTGATTACTGCTCAAAAGGGGTCAAATTTTGTTTTGCTTTACATTTATTTGCATTGGTTTTATAATTCCTTTCGATTTAGACGAAGCTTCGAAGAAGTATCTCATTACTTTTTCGAAACTGTATGTAACAAGACCTACATATTCAAATGAAGTCCTTTATAAAATTCTATATTTACGTATACATATCTAGAATTACTTATACTAATAACTTGTAGATAATTAACATGAGTTTCTCATTGATAGCGGGTCGAAAATCTTATGATATTCGTGATTTAATCACAGATTAATTAAGTATTTATAATATTGTTCAATTTAGCTACATACATATATCAGCCTGGACCGTGTGACAAGTCTGATGATTACCTAGTGGTATAAACATGATCACTTTATCATTTCTTCTAAGATTTTTTATCTTTTAATCTTTGTTTTTTCTACGAACGGAACTACAGTTGTCTATTAGAGCAGGTGAGAGAAGGTGAATTCATTCAGTTCTTTATATGTATTATTATAGTGTCTAATGAAGTACCTATATCTTATATCCGATACGGAGCCGTGGAGGACATAACGGGATGCTCGAAGACCAGGAGTAAGAACGGGTGGTTTTTTAGTCTAATTTTTTATGTTATTGAACACTCAATCTTATCTTATACTGTTATATAAAGCGGAAGAGTTTGTTTGTTTGTTTGAACGCTCTAATCTCCGTAACTACAAGTCTGATTAGAATAATTATTTTTGTGTTGGATAGCGCATTTATCGAGGATGGCTATAGGCTATAAAAGATCTCGCTACGACCAATAGGAGCCGAGCAGAGCGGATGAAACCGCGCGCAAGTGTAATAATTGGTGGGTATCAGATACCGTTCTATTGTATATTGCTGCGATAAAATCACGTGTCATTATACTTAGTATGTTATCTTATTAATTTTTAGAATAATCTTAGGAAGTCTGATTGCATTTTATTCTTATCGATATACCTATATAGGTGTCAATATATTAAAACGATTACAATATAAAATGTTACAAGTTCCCATTTGACTAAATAAAGATAGCATTGTCACTACGCAATGTATGTTGCCTGTAGTCAAGGTAAATTTCATTTTAATTCGTTGCTTTTTGTGTAAATTGTGTAAGTAGAAGTGATAACATTTTTATATGACCTTTTATACTTAGGTATATAAATCTGTTCCCTAGATAAATTGCATTTAAACGCTTGTCGAACGGATAAATATAAAATCATTGCACGAGTCATACTCTGTTTTTTGACGATTATTACGTATGTGTAGGTATAATTTCTTTTTCTTGGTGGCAAAAGTGCATTCATTATTATTTCTATTTTCGATTTTGTGTTTGAGAATAGAAAATTTGATGCATTAGATCATATCTTGTAACACAATACGATATTATTATTATGAAATACCTATTTATATATTTAATGTTATGTAAACTTGTTCTTTGCTTGACAACATTATAATTTATAATATTAATAACTTTTATAATATAATATTTCGCCATTTGTTTTTATTTTACGTCTAGACATTGACATTGGTTTAACATAGTATTATTATGTGCATTATTTTATTTTAACGTTTCCTTTTAAAAATTTAAAATATCTGATTGGCAGCGTCTGATAACTGCAAACGCAAAACATAAACAAGACCATATCTTATTGAACGACTTGACAGTTTTGGCTTGTACACAGTTTTTATCGCAAATATTTATATCTTAAAGTGGAACTGTTATATAACCCTTATTTTATAAAAAATAAATAAAAAATATCAGGTTATTCCTACTCTACAAATGAAATTGTTGTTTAAGACTGACCTACGTTTTGTTAACTATTACATTAGTTTTTTTATATCACTTGTATAAGAAACAGGGCCTGTATGCTTATCAAAACTAGTAAACATTTAGATTGTTGTTGCTACAATTGCATGACGCCACTGTCGTATGATTATCCTACCTAACAAAAATTGGATTTGGTATCAATATGGTGTAGATTACTAAAGAAAATCAAGCTTCGAAAAATTTGCAGGAGGTCAATGTACTGTTAAAAATCTAACATGTCTACTAGACTACACTACGTAATTCGAACTTCGAACGCCAAAAATAACAATGGCTGTGTTGCAGATAATAAATTAAAAATAGACTCACGTATATCCCGCTAGGATGTCCATGAGAGTGCTCTTGCCGGCTCCGGACTGTCCCATAATGACCGTCAGCTCGCCAGCGTTGAAGGTGCCGCATACTTCGTTGAGGATCGTCTTGCGTCCTGGGACGTAGAGGAAAATTAGTCACTATATTGACAAGGAATTTTAAATCGACAGTAACAATAATTTGATGTTATGATTTTCCGTGCTAGTACGACACACCAGGCTGCCGTAAACTGTCTTTCACGAATAGTTATTCTCTATTAAGCTTTAGTTATAAAGTTGGTATTCTAATTGGCAATTTGAATTCCGAATTCTGATCTCATCAAATAATTAAAAAAAATATTTATTTAAACTGCACGGTGTTTCATACTATTCTATGCGGTCTGTAAGTTCGGCCATTTGACTTTGAACTCTATTGAAGAAGATCATTAATTCTACTATTTGAGCAGTCTGCCTACACTATTAGGTCAATATTTTGTTTGTTTATAACCTTAGTCTACTTTCAACCGCCCACGTGTGATGTGTTAAACTGTTTGGTAATCGTTGGATACTCTTAGAATTTCTAAGATTATTTGTATAGCTGCATTAAAGATGTTAAATATTTTATTAATACCTGTATTAACAAAACGTTTTCGATTTAAAATGGCTTTAGTGGAACATGTATTTTCATAAGTACTTATAATATTTAATTTCGGTTTAGTAAAAATGTGCCAGTTGCGTTAATAATATAAAAGCAGTAATTAAATAACAGAAATACGAATAAATAATACCAATTAAAAGAAATAAATAAATTCAATGCTCAATTAATTACAAAAAAACTGACCTAAGTTCTCATATATTTAGGTATAGTTTACTAGTGAGCTGGAGGACGCTAGACTTTGACCGTAATATTATCATAATTAAATATCAATGAGCATTAGTGACAAATTCAATAGTGATAAGTATTCATTATTAATTACACAAGGAACATCTTGTATTTCTGTCTATTTAGATTTTGATATAGAATCGTTATTATTGTTATTGTTCAAAGAAATCCCATCTCTACAATAGACCTGAGTATCTCTGAAACTTTAATAATTGGTCCCGTAACATGAACTAATTGAACTATTAATATCTAAATTTCAAACATTTTTTAAATCAAATTTAACGGCGGTTTAAAAATGTATAATAACTAAATATAACAGTAATGTTTCATGTTTCTACGCAAATGTAGACAAAATATTGATTACGTCAAAATGACAATTAAAAAACTAATCTTGTTTTTCAAAAATCGAACGTTGATACTGCAATACGAGTATCAACCAGTATACCTTTATACATACATTAAAGGCTCGTAAACCAATTTTTGCTCAAACCCAAAACCAGTGTTCAAATTAACAGGTAAACATCAGATTTCGTAAAATTAGTTCATTGACATTACAAAAGATGAGCAAGGAGGTTCTTGTCTCTCATCTGTTCACCGTAAACTGATTATCAACAGACTGTCACCAAATAAAAATGGCGCCTAGCCGCTTTGTAATCTTGTGCCTTTAGAAAACGACTATTTCCGTACAAATGAAGTTGAAGGTCTGAACTCGTTTCCTTATAAAGGAGTTTGTGACGTTTTACTGGGGGCTAGTGATATCCGTTATAATGAAATCATAATCATTTGATATCGTATGATTCTGCTTAGAGCTAGAAGAAAAATGGCGTAAACGCTAGTTGGAATAGAAAAGTCAATGTAGGTATGGGATTGACATGCTTTTCGTATGTAAATGTGAATTCCACATCAACATTAACATTTTAATGGATTAGCTTTTTATATCATTAGCTACTATGTACAGTATTTGTACAATTATAGGATACTGTGTCTATCTATAATATTATTATCACTGTGAGTTTTGAAAATGGAAAAACATAATAAAATTTTTAGCCTGACTCTGTGATGGAGTACCAGACCCCTGGTTCAATACTCGCGGACCCTCGAATAATAAAGCAATCAATATTCATTATTGTTTGGGTGATTTTAACCTCCTCTTTAATTGATATACCTGCCTATAAATATTCTTACGGATACAATGTAACTTATCACGAAAAAGAATCTAAAGGTATTTGACGTATTGTAGACAAATTATAAATTCTTTTAAAGATAATTTAAATACCTTATCAATTCTCGTACGATAATGCAGACTGTCTCGAAGGGAACGATGAATTAATTATTATATTAAGTGACAAAGGATACGCGTAACAATAAGGACTTTGACAATCATATTATGAAGTCATGTAATTTGGTATATAACTAATTATCTATATACCATTTGTACTAGGTACTCGTATCATTCAGAGTCTCAGTTAGGAAATATGATTTACATTAAATATTTACTTTAGTTGTATATGTTTTTCTCTTGTCCAACTTATCATTATGTAGATTTATGTTTGCTTGTGTAACTATACCTATAACACGATAATTGGTTTTCTCAAAGGTTGTTCAAACTTATCGGATGTTTAATAATTTAATACTTTAATTTAGTTAGTTAGTTTAAGTCAGTAGTAGCACGGAGTCTGGAATTGTGCCCGGTATATGGCAATAGGCTCACCCCCTATTACATGGGACTCATAACATAAATAGGGAAAGTGGGTGTTACATTGTACAGTGGTATAATGTGCACCTCTGCCAACCCCTTCGGGGATAAAAGCCGTGATGTTATGTGTTTAATTTAGTCCAAAGGTACTATTAGGTATGCTTAATATGCATGATGTTCGATTTATAGTACATTTAAAATTGATATTTGGCTATGAACCAAATGGCATAAATACTATTCGATTCAAATTCATCAAATATATAGATAATATATGGGATTGACATTGATATTCGACAAAACATGTCAATGCCATATATTGATTTTTCTATTCACTTGATTCAACCAGCTTTTATGCCATTTGTCTAGGAAGTTATTTATTTATTTATTTATTTATTATAACACCTTACAATGTGACATCTTACAGTTTATTCCAATGCAATATCACATTTCCTGACACATTTAAGTCTAACA